GGGTGTAGAAAGGGGGAATTGATCACAGGGAGCTACATATAACCTCCTCTCTGGGGGACAGGCAGCAGAGGGGTGGGTGAAGGGAGACGCCGGGCAGTGTAAGATAAGATACAATAATAATTTATAAATTATCAAGGGTTCATGGGGGAGGGGGGAGGAGGAAGAGATGGGGAGGGGAAAAAAGGAAAATGAGCTGATTACGGGAACCCATTTGGGAATAATGAGGGCAACAAATGTATAAATGTGCTTTACACAATTGATCTATGCATTGTGATGAATTGTATGAGCCCCAGTAAATTGATTAAAAAAAAAGAGTCAGAATCTCAGAAGCCCTCAAGGCTGGTTCTACCCTGTCGTAGATGGTTACCACACATAGGAATAGACTCTGGCCCTGAGCTCTTTGAGAGCCGTGTCCCTGGCTTCTACTCACCTGACTGCATGGCATTGCCACTGTTAGGCCGATTAGAACTGTGTATTAACATTGCTAAATGTCCCCAAAAGGACAGCTGTCCTGGTGGAGAATTACTGCCCTAAATCAATGAAGGCTGTTTACCAGGAGCTTTTATCTTTAGAGAGTATTACATCTGAAAATAAAGCTTTTTCTGCATCTACCGAGATTCTGGTTTTTTGCTCTTTTAATCTTTTAAAAAAATAGCAGATTACTAACTGTTATCTTACTTACAGATTACTTACTCTATTACTTTGAATAATCAAGTGTTAGCATGCTTCTTCAGATATAGACACAAGGCTTTTTTGATTAATAACTCATTCAAATGTCAAATTAACTAACAACAAAAGTTGGACATATTTCAATAAGTAATGTGTTACCTTTATTTATTAACTATATAACAAGGAACTAGGATGTTGATTTTATAAATAGTAAATAGTTCATAAATACATTTATAAATAGTAAGAAAATCAATTTGAATTAGTCCTTCGGTTATAAAAGCTTTTGTAAATACTGCTGCTTTACATACTGAGAATGGCAGTGTTAGCCTAATTAACCTGCCATTTTCCTCTAAATTTTCTCTTAGAACTATGTATAATCTTTGGTAATAAATACTTTTCTATCAAAAAACAACTTTTCTGGTGGCTCTTTTTGCATAAGCATTGAAATGAAACCCCTAAGAAGTAGGAGACCATAATTATCTTAACAATAGCCCTTAGTATTTTTAATACAATCAGTAAGAGATAGAAAAATAAAATTTGTAATCATAAGCCCGAAGTTGACTGCATTTAGGAAACTAATTTGAAATCAATGATAATGAGTTACTTTAAGGAATTTTTGCATAAAATTATTTTCTTATTTTTCTTTCTCTTATAGTCACGTTCTATATCTAGCTCCCCTGTGATGGTAGCTCAGCCAATTTACCAACAACCCTCTTATCATTACCAGGTAAACATTAAATTAGTATTAAAACCCTCTTTTATGCTTTCAGGGATTTTTTTGGTTTGTTTAGTTTTTCTGTTTGGATTTTTTTTAATAGTTTTTGTAACATTCACTTTACTTTTTAAAAAATTTTATTGACATGTAATTAATATATCATATAGTAGTTTAAACATATTGAAAACAGATGTGCAGTCATCACTACAACCAATTGTAGAACATTTTCTCCTTTATTGTTTAGTGAAATAAATAATAAGCTACTCCCCCCCAAAACCCAAGAAACTATTATCCAATTACAATTGCTACAGAATTACCTACCCTGAATTTCATATAAAGAAAACCATACAACAAAAAGCAAAACAAAACAAAAACCCAACAACAAGATAAAACATAGAAAGACCTTAGTTGAAAAGTATATTTCCAACTTTCTGGGAGTTGCCAACTGTTTCCAAGAAACAGTTTTACATAAACTTATATACACAATATTGTTGGGAAAGGGGTTCCAATTTCTCCATATATTTGCCAACACATATTGTCTATGTTCTTTATTGGTAGTTATAAAGTGATAGCTCATGGTTGTTGTTTTTCACATATCACACAATTGTTTGATCACATTAAGATTTGTGCAATCATCACAATCATTTTCTTCTCACAGTCGTTGTTAGCTCCCCATTTCCCCTATCCCCCTGCCATGCCCCTATCCAGTTACTGCTTCTGTAGCTTCACCTACCCTGAATTTCTTACAAAACAAAGCAAAATTATACAGGGCAAACCAACAAACAAAGAACAACTAGACAAAAGATAAAAATTTCAAAGAGAAAGGAGAAAATATTAAAAACTCAATCAATTTTAAAATGGGAGATCAAATGATGGTGTTACATTTTAACCTAACTACATCTGTCATAAATGACTTTAAAATGCTTTCTGCTAGCATAGTTATTCAGATCCCTCACCTACGGTCAGATAGATTCCCCGGAGATTGAATCCATGGGGGCTTTTTTTGTTTGTTTTAGTACATTTTGGTTGTTTTTGTTTTTATAACTTTTACTTTACTATTTCTGATTTAAGGAAGCTACTGGCTAAAAACAAAGATAGTTTAACTTTGATGGCAGTTCCCCTACCCTGTCCCTGCCCTTTTTCTGAGGGAATTAAACAATGTCATACAAGAAAATGGACTATGCTTTACAGAAAGTTTGCTAACCTCTGGGCTATGACCTTCACAAATAAAATCACATATCACTTCCCTCCTACCCACCCACTTCTGGCTAACATTTAATCTAAAAGTCTGTAACAGTAATTTCCAAAGTAGGATACAAGTATTATACAACAGGCTGATTTTTAAATGTTGGTGTTAAGAGTTTATCAATTCATTATTTCATTAAATGCAGTAAAATATATATTAAGTAATATATTATGGTTTGTCATATATTGTGGCACCCTATTTTCGTTACAAGCACTCTTTTTTTCATTCTGGCAGGAGATTGGGGAAAGTTAGCTTAATGCCAGACCACTCGGGTCTATCACAGGAGCCAGCCAAAGCCAACTGTAGCCTGTTTTTTGTAAATAAAGGTTTATTGCAACACAACCACAGTATTTTAACATGCTGTGTATGACTTCTGTTGTGCTATAATGGCAGAATTAAGTAGATGCAACACAGATCTTATGGCCTGAAGCCTAAAATATTACTCACTGATCCTTTACAAAAAAGTTTGCCAACTTCTGATCTATTTATTGATCGATTTATTTATTCACAAATAAAACCAGACTATTTCATAGTCTCTAGAATAGTGTCAGAGCATTTTATTTCCATTTCTTCATATTTCTTTTTGAACTTGTAAAACAGATCCATTCAAAAGTTTAAATTAAGGTTTCTGGGATTCTTAATACTAGTAGACCACGTTTTGAGAGGCCAGTTATCTTTTAACTCTAATGCCATGTTAAGTAAAAGCTAAAGTGCTTCCTTCACTCCCTAAAACTGACATAGTATAAATACATGTATTAAAAGGGTATATATAGCGTGGCATTTTCTGAGCTATCTCTGAATTTCAGCAGAGGCCACAAACAAATATTGAGAACATTAAATACCAAACCATTTAAACCTGACAAGCTTAAAAATTATGAAACCAGTTTCAAGACTCTTAGATCATTGTCCACATCAAGCCCATATAACAGAGGTTGATTGATGAAACGTGGTAAAGACACTTCCTTTAACAAGAAAGTTGTGAGAGTGCTGTGCTATTTCTCCTCCTCAACAAGTATAAAGGGGACTTCAGAAAATAACAGAGCTTGGTATCTGTCCTCTGGTATACTTATTTGAGAGGCTATTATAATTTGGACCTGACCTTTCCCTTCTTTAGAAGCCCAAAGAAGAAAGGGCACAGTGGGAATGACTTGAACTTTCATGGTTCCTCGGATCAAGATTAAAACCTCACATCAGAGACTATTCCCCAAAGCTTTAAAGGGAGCCCCAATAGAGAAAGAATCTCTGTAAGATGGACTCCTGGAATCAAGGCCTAGTGAAGCACTGTAATTGCAGTAAGAAGTTTCCAGCAGGGAGATAGCTAGAGAATCTATTAAAGTATCCTAAGTAGAGAGTCTTTTCATATTTAATTATGGGAGAACATATTCAGAATAACTGAATCTGAGAGAACTTTAAAAATTCAAGCTGCAAGTTGCAAGATTAAAAGATTCCACAGGCCAAATATTGATGAAGAAAAGCTCAAAAGAAGATGGAAGAAACATGGAGTTGATGGAGTGGAAGGAAGATGGAGTCGCAGTGCCAAAAAAAAAAAAAAATAGGTTGATGCTCAACCATTTCAAGAGAAAGAATATAATCAAGAATCAATGGTATTGAAGGACAAAATCTAAGTTGGACCGAAGACATTAAACAAAAACAACGATCCAGGAATTGATGGAATACCAGTTGAAATGTTTCAACAAACAGATGAAGCACTGGAAGTTCTCTGCTTGGCCAATTGACTGGAATAGATCTATAATCATGTCTATTCAAAGAAATGTGACCCAATAGAATGTGGAAAGTATCAAACAGTATCATTAGCACCACATGCAAGTAATATTTTTTGAAGATAATTTAACAATGGTTGTAGCAGTACATCCACCGGGAGCTGGCATAAATTCAAGCCAGATTCAAAAGAGGACATGAAATGAGGGTTATCACCATTATTAGATGGATCTTAACAGAAAGCAGAGAATAACAGAAAGATGCTTGCTTGTGTTTTATTGACTATGCAAAGGTGTCCAACAGTGTGGGGTATAACAAACTAAGGATAACTTTACAAATGGGAATTCCAGAACACTTCACGGTGCTCTTGTAGAATCTGTACATGGAACAAAGAGACAGTTGTTTGAACAAAACAAAACAGGAAAGGTATGCATCAACATATTTATTCCATCTGTATGCTGAGTAAATAGTCCAAGAAGCCAGACTATGTGAAGGAGAATGGAAGAATCAGGAAGGTTAATTAAGATCCTTCAGTATGCAGACGACACAGCTATTGATTACTAAAAGAAAGGAGGACTTGACATACTGATATAAATCCAAGATTGCAACCTTCAGTATGGATTGGAACTCATTGTGAAGACAACAATAACCCTCACATCATGATAAATGGAGAAAAGATTGAAGTTGTCAAGGATTTCATCTTGCTTGGATCTATAATGTTCAGAGGCAGCAGTCAAGAAACCAAACAATGAATTGCATTGTGCAAAATTGCTACACAAGAATTGTGTAAAGTATTAAAGAGCACGCTCCATTTTTCCACCATTGTGAGTCTGTTTGCCTTCCATCTTCACAATGTCTTCTCATATGACTTTCAGGATCAAGAGTTTCCTGGCCAAGAACCAAAAGCAGAATCATCCCATTCCCCGATTGATTAGAGTGAAAATTTGTAGTAAGATCAGGTGCAACTGCAAGAGAAGACATTGGAGAAGGGCATACCACATCTGTAAGGAGGCCCCTTTGGGATGGCATGCACACATTTACTTAGGTTTGCTAGTATTCTGTCATGCTGAGCATAAGGTTTTGCCAATCCAGTCAGTTGAATTTGTACTGGCAAACATCTGATTTCTTCCTTGTGTTTTATGCTTCTGCATTGAGAGGTTAACAATGAGTAAGTAATGAGGTCATTGGTGAAAAGGGAAAAAAGAATCAAATAGCAAGGAGGACACTTTGAGGACTAAGGTATGCCTGACCCAAGCCCAAACTATGGTGTTTTCAATCACCTCATCTGCTTGGACGATGAATAAGGAAGACCAAAGAAGAATCATTGCCCTGGAATTATGGTTTTGGCTAATACGAAAGGTGCCCTGTTCTGCCAAAAGAACAAACAACTCTATCTTGGAAGAAGTATAGCCAGAATGCTCCTAAAAATCGACAATAGTGAGACTTTGTTTCATGCATATGTTATCAGGAGAGACCAGTCCCTAGCTTACACAGATGTGCTTACAATGAAATGATTGAGAGAGACTCACTCACTCACTCACTCACTGTCTCACCCACTCACTCACTGTCTCACTCACTCACTGTCTCACTCACTCACTGTCTCACTCACTCACTCACTCACTCACTCACTCACCAAAAAAAAAAAAGAAAGAAATGATTGAGAGAGGGAACTTAATCCTCAAGTATGAAAGGGACAATGGCCAGAAAAGCCAGGATGGCCAGTGGTGCCGTAAATTACTTAATATCACTCTTCTAGCCAAAGTCTTTGTACCTTTCACCAAATGGCTGGGTGAGACCAGGCATATTGGATATATTTCCTCTTTTCCTGATAGGTCTGGGTAAGGGGAGGAAGCTGCTGATAGGATTAAATGATTGTGTTGTGAATGACTGTTAATAGGGTTCATTGTGATTGCAAAAACTTGGAACTCAAAAATAAATTAAAAAATAAAAATCTTGCAACTCCTTTAGACCCAAGATGCCTGTGCATCTTTTAGCCAGGGACAAAGAGCGATAGCACCATAGAAGTGGCAAGGGAGCAGCAGCATTAGAACCAAGAGCCAGAGCACAGGATAGACCCATAGACTTCCCAGTCCACAGAGCAGAGTAAACCTGAGTGCCTTCAGGAGGGAGGTTTGTTTGCAGAGTGGCAAGCACCAGGGGCGTGTACCGCCAGTCCTGAAGAATTTTGTACCATTGCCTCAGTAGAGCAGAGACTAAGGAGCTGTATGGTTGTGAGGCCAAGAACCAAAGGGAAGCCTGCCTGCAGGCATAACTGAAAAAAGCATGCCCTGAATGAACTGTATCTTGAACATTTCTTCTTCTGAATTATAATTTAACATCCTAATAAAGCCCACAACCATGTTTTTGGTCGCTCAGTTCTATGTGGCTATTACAATGAATGATCAAACCCAATAGAGAAATAGAGAGTACCATAGGACGGATGTCAGAATTGATAAGAAGTTTGGAGGGTGCAAGTACATTTGACCCCTGCCTCATGGGAATCAGCCTTGGGCTGATGTGGAGTTTGATTTTCCTTTCTCATTGAGAAATCAGAGGGGGTCAGACACCATCCCCTCCCCAAGATTCTTAGAGTTCTGTATGGATCCAGAGACACATTCCTTATCAGATGGATGATTTGCAAATTACCTCATTCTGTGGATTGTCTTTATTTCCTTGATGGTGTCCTTTGCAGAAAAAAATTTTATTATTGATTAAGCTCTTTTCCTTAAAATTTGAAGTTCATACTTTAAAAAGCATTGCCTTATCCAAGTTCACAATGATTTTTACCTGTTTTCTTCTAAGAGCTTTTATAGTTTTACATCTTATATTTAGGCCGTTGAATCTTTGGAGTTATTTTTTGTTTATGATTTGAGGTATAGGGATCTAGCTTTATTCTTTTGCATGTGTACATCTAGTTTTAAACTTCTTTTTTAACCTCTGTGTGGCTTTCTTTTGCTTTTGTTTTTAATTTCAGGCCCCTGCACAGTGTCTTCCAGGACAGTGGCAGTGGGGTGTTCCTCAGGTAAAAACTAACATTCAGTCTGTAACTTAAAATACCTTCCTCTTAGGGTTTTTCTAAAGACCACATGACTATTAAAGTTAGGAAAACTAGGCTTGAGATGTTCTCATATTTACTAATTCTGATACCTTGGGAATTCATATAGTCACTGTATTTCTGTTTCCTCATAAACTTTATGAAGATCCAATGAGGTCATATGAAGTGTGAGATTATATAAAATGTAAATTGAATACTATTAAACATGAAAAAATTATTTTTTTAACCATTAGTGTTTGGGGGAAATTTTGCATTTTTCTAGCCTCAATTGTTATTTTACAGTTTGACTTATGCTCCTACTCTATTTCCTAATTTTTTATAACAGTATACCATCATAAATTATTGCTCAATGACATTTTCTCACTGCCATTAGAAGTCATAATTGAGACATAGCAAAAATGTATGCTAGTTTACGCCCTTTAATGGTGATCTTTATGTTTCTGGAATTATTATCTAAATTTGTATATGAGGTTCTCAAGTACTAGGAACTTTTAAAATTTACCAATAATAACAATTATTTGAATATATTTACACAACTAGAATTTATAGCAACCAAATTTCTAACCTATTGCTAGGAGACCCCCATGCTATCCCAGAAAAAAATGTATGAAGCAAATATGTATCTTTCTAAACAGTTTTATTAGCACTTCATCTACATGTCATACAATTCAATAATTCAGTCATATCAAGAAGAGTGGTCCAATTGTCAGCAACAAATATCTGTTGTGTAAATCATTGAGTTTAATGGATATAACTGATCAGATTTGAATTAGGAGTGTGGTTTTGTGTTTTAGTCACCTACTTCTTCTGCTCCATTCTTATACCTGCAACCTTCGGAGGTGATTTACCAGCCAGTGGACCTGGCACAAGATGGTGGATGTGCGCCGCCTCCACTGTCTCTGCTGGAAACCTCAGTTCCAGAGGTAGGTCCAAGTCTTTTATTGCTCTGTAACTTCCTCATCTTAACTTTTTTGTCTTTTTCTTATTTGTTTAAAACTCTTTTTGAATATGTTTCACATATGATTTGTCACATAAATCTTCCCCTTTGTGATTTCTAAGAATAGTTCATCTTAGATTTCTTCACTACAAATAGTTCTAAACCATTTCCCAAATGAGCTGGTCACTAGACTAATCCCTGACTCCATCTCTTTTAAATAGTAGGATACCAACTGCTTTACCATCTTCTGGTCTTTCCTGCCAATTTATAATGTTGCTAACATTCTGTCAAATAAAAGCATGTAATAATTCAGTCAAGGGGGGGATTAGATGCTTCCTACAAAAATTTTAATCTAATTTATTTTATAAATAATAAATTATAAATCTCATCTTCAGTGAACAATTACTAATAGTTAAACCTTCCATGTGCCAGGAAATATACATGGTGTATTTTAAATCAATGTTGTTAAAGATTAACTTTGTAAAGAGTTACCGTCTTAGAAATTCACAGGGAAGTTCAACCCTTTCCTCTAGGGTTGTTGTGAGTTAACATCAAGTTGGTACCAGTGAGTTTTTTGGTATGAACAAAAACTGTCGCTCTCTTTTTTGAAGCTTCTCTATAGCATATAGGACATATATATCTTGAGGTAATGCATCCATAACTGCTCATCTTTGTTGAATGGTCTTCACAAATCTAAGCAGATTGAAATGACACAACAGGAACACGACAACCACCCTATACATCTATGGGCAACTGAAATGTAGTTTCTCTGGAACTTCATTAGATACAGAGATATTCTTGAGAATCAAGTAATCTAAATCTTTTGGTTGCTGGAGAGCTTCATCTTGCTGAACTTGTATTTATTTTTGCTGATGGACCAATGCTGATTGACAAATGGCTTTTATTTCCATCTTTGAGCTAGTTCTCTATATTCAGTGTACTTTTCCAAGGGCTCTGGAACAACCTTGACCAATCACTCCATATCAACCTCATATTTCAAAACATCTAGAGCTCTGAGTGGCAGATTTTTTTAATCATTTCATTGGGGGATCTTACAGCTCTTATAACACTCCATACATCAATTGTATCAAGTATATTTGTATATATATTGCCATCATCATTTCCAAAACATTTTCTACTTGAGCCCTTAGTATAAGCTACTCTTTTTTTCCCCCTCCTTCCACCACCATCCCACCCTCATGAATCCTTGATCAATTATATATTGTTATTATTATTTTGTATCTTACACTGTCTGTTGTCTCCCTTCAACTACATTTCTGTTATTCGTCCCCTTTGAGGGGGTCAGCTATATATCCAACCTTGTGATGGGTTCCCCTTCTCTCCCTTCACCCTCCCCAGCCATCCCCCTCTCCTCATGATATTGCTACTCCAGGACTGTTTCTGAGGGATTTATGTCTTGAATTCCTTGTGTCGAGAACTTTTTTTTAAATCATTTTATTGGGGCTCTTACAGCTCTGACCACAATCCATCCACACAGCCATTGCATTTGTACATATGTTGCCATCATCATTTTCAAAACATTTTCTTTCTACTTGAGCCCTTGGTATCAGCTCATTTTCCCCCCTCTCCCACCCTCCCTCATGAACCCTTGATAATTTATAATTTTTTTGTGTGTTACACTGACTGCTGTGTCCCTTCATCTTCTTTTCTGTTGTCTGTCCCCTTGGGAGGGGATTATATGTAGATCGTTGTGATTGGTTCCCCCTTTTCGCCCCACCTTACCCGTACCCTCCTGGTATTGCTACTCTAATTATTGTCCCTGAGGGGTTTGTCTGTCCTGGATTCCCTGTGTTTCCAGCTCTTATCTGTACCAGTGTGCATGCTCTGGTCTAGCCAGATTTTTAAAGTAGAATTGAGGTCATAATAGTGTGGAGGGGAGCATTAAAAAACTAGAGGAAAGTTCAATGGTGCTATACTGTACCATGACTGGCTCATCTCTTCTTTGTGACCCTTCTGTAAGGGGATGTCCAGTTGTCTACAGATGGGCTTTGGGTCTCCCAATCTGCACTCCCCCTCATTCACATCAATATGCTATTTTGTTCTGGGTCTTTGATTCCTGATACCTGATCCCATCAACACCTCATGATCAATCACACAGGCTGGTGTGCTTCTTCCATGTGAGCCTTGTTGCTTCTCAGCTAGATGACTGCTTGTTTATCTTAAAGCCTTGAAGATCCCAGATGCTATATCTTTTGATAGCTGGGCACCATCAGCTTTCTTCACCACATTTGTTTATGCACCCATTTTGTCTTCAGTGATCGTGTCGGGAAGCTGAGCATCACAGAATGCCGGGTTTTTAGAACAAAGTGTTCTTGCATTGAGGGAGTACGTGAATAGAGGCCCAATGTCTATCTGCTGACTTAATACTTAACATATAAATATATGTACATA